TGTACAATGGGCCCACTATAAGTGCATCATTCTCCCCTGCTAGAAAAAGATTCGTCGTCGATATCTCCAATGATCTCAATTTCTTTAGACAAAAATTCAAATGATAAATCTTCCTCTATTAGATCTTCATAATCTGATTCACCATCAGAATTATTATAGACTGGATTATCATCATAAACTGAATCTTCATCATAAGATGGATAATCATCATAAATGGGATAATTGTCAACAATCGAATAATCATCATAAATTGGATTATCACCATAGATCAGATTATCATCATAAATTGTATTATGATCATAGACTTCAAAGTCAGGAATCATGATTTGCATCTCGATATCTTGAAAAGTAAACTGATTTCCAGGTTGTACTTCCCAATTCTGTCCCTGGTTTAAAATCCCCAATGGATTGACGTCCTCTTCTTCGTCATCAAATGTGTCATCTAATTCCATTCTTTCTTCGAATTGAATGCCCAACTTTGTCCACGCAAGTCGCCGCTCCAAATGTTGAATTTCCATGCTCTGCACCTCCATAAGAGTTTGCTTAAATTTGAGTTTTCATGCATATCCGCACGAGTCGTCGCTCAAAATATTGAATTCTCTTTCTCTGTGCCCGCACACATAGTTGCTTCAAAACTTGGATTTTCTAGTCCAACGCTTGCTCAAATTGTTGCTTCAAATCCTGGATTCGCCTTCCGAGCTCTTCATTTTCTATATCTCACGGGTCAATCTGACACAGTTGTCTATATTCTTCAGGAATGAATCCACGCTCCTTACCCTCGTGACTCTGCTGCCGTCGACCTCCACAATTCTGTTCAGCCATTGGGTGAAGGCAACCTAGTGCTCTAATACCAAATGATCCCGAAAACGCATAGAAAAAGTGGTTAAACAGAAAGTTAGGATTTTCTCAAAAGAGTAACCCTCCGGTTCTCAATTTCAATTAACAAATAACAAAATTCAACTCATAGAATAAGGGTCATAAGCACCTTTTTATAGACTAATTACAAATTGATTCAAAATTCTAAATCTAAAATTCTAAAAATAATAAAACTTCCTAAAATAAAAATAACAGTAATTAACATCTAAAAATAAATAAAAAATTACAAATAAATAATTTAAAATACATCCTAAATCTTTAATCTCAAATCACGCCAAATATGTTGCTTTCCTTTTCTTCCCAAATAAATCACAATCACATCTGCTGCTTTATTAGGACTTGGATTTGATTGTAATTTGATATATTTCAAATCATTGCCTCTTTCAACAATTGGGCCATACTTATTAGGTCACAATTCTAGTTGACTACGAGTTTCTTGAATCAATGGTTGGGCCATTTACAATGGGCCAACTATAAGTGCATCAAAACTGATACCAGAAGAACCCAAAAAGCAGAAGCAAACACAGCAAATGCAAACACTAGAATAGAGAAAATGAAAAGTTATCAACGGATACCTATATAAAGGTTGAAGACAAAGAAGGTGGAACAACCGAAGGAAAGGGATAAATCATCTAACAACCAAAAGCTGCATAAACTTCGTATGAGCTTGAAAACCAAAAAAACCCAGAGCAATATAAATGCAATAGAAAAAGGGAAACAACAAGAGCTCAACAATGCAGAGGGAAGATAATGAAAAAACTAAGCAAATGGAATTGAAAACGTAAGTTTAAGCGCGAAGAGGAAGCGACATTAAGTTGAATAATTGAAGGGCAACATTGTCTTTTCAAAGGCGGCAAGCAGTTATCGAGGCACATCTCGCCAATCAGAGAGAACCATGTGTAAAAGAAAAATCGTCACTTGGAACACCAAAGGATAAACCCAAAAAACGAGATGTAGACCATTAGCGAATAAGTTGGTCTCTTACTTCGGCACACAAAAATGCCGCTCAACAAGAACCTTGTCTAAAAGGTTTTTGGGCAAGGACGGATATCCAAGACTGGGACTGAAGCAAAATTAGCACGACCAACAATAAGACTGAGTCCCAAATGTGAAGGCATCAAGAACGGCAAACCAACTCGATACGACTCACCACAACCCGAGTCATGCTATTCCGAGCGGAGAATTCGAACTCGACCATTGACACCATAACCAACCATCCCGGCTAGGGAAACATTAAGCTTAGATGCATCTTCTACACCCGGGAAGCCCAAACACTCAATCTATCAGGTTGGGGGGAAATGTTATGGACCAATACAAGAGGCTCATATTCTAGAAGGCCTAGAAAAAGACAACAAAAAAGGAAACTAAAGCAAATATTCCTTTATTGATACCAATCCTAATACGACAGATACGAACCTAGACATGGGCCCTCATAAAGTCATTAAAGGTCCAAAATTTCACTACCCACAGGTAAAATCCTATAAATAAGAGGTATAGCCTATAGGTATGGATATTCTCTTTCATATTGTTATGCTGTCACTGTGCACACATACCACCGCTTTGGCAAAATCGTTACTCTTCCTGCACAGTGATTTGCTACTCTCAATGGTATATCTTCCATAGATACCTGTAAAAGACATTAAATCCAATATCAACACACTAGTCGTTGACGAAGTGAACGATTAAATGAACAAATAAGCAAGGTTTGAGAAATTCTACATGCATGAAAATGATTAAATGAATTTATTTCAATTTAGAAAGGAGAAAATTTTGATCATTCAGAGTAAGAGAAATCTTAAGAAATTCTTAAGCTCTACTTGTAGAGTTGAATTGTTTACGTGATATTTAAAAATTGAGGTAGATTATACTTACAATTTTTTTCTTACAATTTTTTTTAATTATTTTTTCTTTATCATTATATTTAAATCAAATGAACAATTACAAAATAATAGCGAATAAGCTAGGTTGATGAAATTCTACATGCATGAAAATGATTAAATGGATAAATGAATTGATTTCAATTTAGAGAGGAGAAAATTTAGATCATTTTGGAGTAAGATAAATTTTTAAGAAATTCTCAAGCTTTCCTTATAGTGTTGAATTATTTAATTTATATTTAAAAATTGGAGCACATTTTATTTACAAGTTATAATTTTTTTTCTTACAACCACTTTATTAAAATTAGATCAGAATAAAATTACGGCTTTCATTTGATATCATTTTGTCATCGTTGATTTGTTTTTGAACTAATGATAAAAAATTATTATAAGAGGTTATAAAAAAAATAGTAAATATAACATCTCTCTTAAAAATTAATGAAAATATTTGGTTTGTGCGTGTCAATCATTCTTATTATTATTCTCACTTTTATTTATAATTAATAAAGACATCGAACTCTAAGTAACTTGTTAAGTATTTATTATTGCTAGTTGTTTAAAATTTTATTATAATATATTAGTAAACAAATAATAATTGGGTTAAAAGTATTTTAAAAATAATAATTTGTAATTTAATCTTAATGTAAAATGAATATTAAATTTCTTTTACATATATATTTAAGGATTATATGAAGAGGCAGGATCCTTTGACACCGGTGTCAAAAAAAAAGTTTGACACCTCATCTGAGAGCCGTTAGATTAAAAAAAATCAACGGTGTCACATGCTTACAAATCAGAATCGTTATTTTTTTTAATCTAACGGCTCTCAGATGAGGTGTCAAACTTTTTTTTTGACACTGATATCAAAAGATCCTGCCTCTTATATGAATATCATGTTACAGCGCTAAAAGTCAAATTTCCCGTGATTTGTGTGTGGCTTTTTCTTTTTTTTTTTGGCCTTTACTAAAACATGTGAGAACCACATATTGATTTGTGTCATTAAATTTTTTGTAACATGATATTTCTATTTCTCTACATTTAATGATGTATTGCTTTATCACTAATAAATTTGATTATTATAATAATAATAATTATATCAAATATCCCTGCAATAAAAATGTTGCTGCCACTCTACTAAAAAAAAAAATGTTAGTGCCGACTATGTTGCACCGACATCAACACGGGATACAGAATACGACACGACACGTTAATTTTAAAAAATGTTAAATTTTGACATGTCAGGACACGTTTTTATATTATATAATATTTTTAATTTATGTAGTGTATATTATATTTAATATTCAATAATTTAACAAAAAATAAAACTAAGCTCATAATATTTATCAATTTTTCAAAGAAACATAAATTATTCCAAATGTTTATATTAAAATCAATAATATAGTAATCATAATTCAACGAATCTAAGTTGAAACTCAAAATGCAATGCAACATAACATTTGAACTTTTTTTTAGTTTTTGCAATAAATATTGGAGTGTCAAAAAATGTCAGAATATCAATGATTGTTTACAAGTGTCAAACATGACATATCAAAAATTTTGAAGTGTCCTACTTATGACCTGCTAGTGCCTCATAGCCTGCTAGTGCCAAGTATCAACAACTGATAATTCTATATCACTTCTGAATTATTCTTAGGGGGCGTTTGTTATTGGGTTTATTTTCGATTTCCCAGGAAAGCATGTTTAGATAAATACCAAATCCATGTTTGGTAGAGCAAAAAAGAAAAAATTCCAGACACCAAACGTTTCCGGGAAAATGAAGTTATGTGCAATTTGTTGCACAGTATCCAAAAGTAAAATGCCATAAATTGGATGGAATGTTTTGTTGTCCGGGAAACTAGAGATTGAGCTGTCAATTAATAGACAAAATTAACCTTTATAAAAGCAGTAAACAGATTGGTACAATTTAAAGTGGGGTTATTTTTGTAAAATAACCTCACTTTCCCACTAATATTTCACAACCAACCAAACACACACTTAGTAAAGTAAACCATAAAATCCCGAGAAAATTTTAACATACCAAACATCTTTTATTAACATTTCAGACTAAATATATTTCATACTACATTTCAGTAATAATTATTTCCCGGATTTAAAAAAATTTCTCCTCTACCAAACGCCGCCTTTAGCGGCTAATGCGAAATAAAAAGAGGTGATATATAAATATATATATAATAAGGGTGGAGAGGGTTTTTAGTTTTAGGGTTTAAGAGTGCAGCGCCATTTCCATTTCCATAGTTCATTTCCCCTTCTCTGCTTTTACCATGTTGGCTCTTCGTCGAGCTTCGCTTCGTCTCAGGTAACTAACTCCCTTTCATTCAGATTTAGGTTTTGAAGAAAACTTGTAGTTTAGATTAATACACACATCAAAGAAACTTTTCCTCTTTCTTAACCTTTAACACTCCTACTGCATCTTCCATTCGATATTCCTTTTTCTTCCACCAGTTTGCCATTTTTTTTAGGGTTACTTTTATGATTTCATTTCACATCAGCCATTTTGAATTTTGTTATTTTTGAGCAGCTATATGAGTGCAGTGTAAATTACTTGCATTGTATCTTTTTATCTTGGGTATGATATCCCGCTGCAGCGTTTTTAGGAATTAGGATCAATGGTTAATGTTAAATTAGGGTGCAATGTGCCTAATTTTATGAATTAGAGTGGTATGTGCAATGAGACTAATAATCTATGGTAAAAGATTCAGAGAGAGAAATTGAAAAAAGGAGAGAAAACACTGAGAGAGAGAATGGATTCAGAGATTTTCTGATTCTATTGTCATAAACTATCTTTGTATCAGAGGTTGTGTTTGTAGAGATATAACCTAACTGATCTGAAGCTGTTACAACTGTTTACAACAGTGGCTGAACTGACATGACAGTTCAGCAAACAAAATCTCACCAGACTAACTAATTCTCAACAGAATAGGAGTAGCATCTATTACTCTGAGAGCTGCAGCACTCTATTGCTGCACTATCCTACTGTTATATGCACAGTAACTGTAGAGTTACTCTATTATATAGAGACTGTTGGTTTTGTTCTTGTTTCAGACTTTTTATTTGTTCATTGTTTAACATCTGTAAGAGTTTGTGCTCATTTTTTATTGTGCATTGTTTGTAGGAGCCAAGGATTTAATGTAGGAGCTTCTCGTGCATCTTGTGTCAAATTAATGCCAACCGCTTCTGTGGAAGATGAGGCTGGTATCTATGATTCTCATCAAATAACACATAGTAGGTTTCTATCGGTGAGCACATTTTACGGTACAGGTCATGCTTCTCTGAAATTTAGTGTGAGCAGGCGTGAACTTTCGTCACAAGCTGATGCAAGTAGCACGAAAGAGGATGATGATTTGGAAGATGGGTTGTCTGAGCTGGACACACTGGGAAATAATGATGAGAATGGAACAGACCTGTCTGATGATGATGGGGATGGTGAGAAACCGCACGGAGAGCTGGAGTTATCAGATGCTGAGATTGATTCAACTGAGAAAATATTGCGGGTTAGAAAGATTCAATCAGAACTTTTCAAGGAAATTGTAGATGCTCCAGGTTTGTCTGTTCATTCTGCTCTGGATAAGTGGGCTAAACAAGGGAAAGAACTAAGCAGGCAAGAGATCTCATTGGCCTTGCTTAATCTTCGGAGGCGTAAAATGTATGCGAGGGCTTTGCAGGTAAATCAACCTAACTTATATCTGATTCCAATTTATATAATTTAACTTAAAAGTATTATGCTAATAAATTTTAGTTTGTCATTGCTTCATATTTCTGGATATTTGATGTTTGTTTGTTATTATACTTGGTAATATTGTTTGTCTGAGAAAGCTAATACTGGTGTCCGCTATCATGCTATGCTTGTTTAACCTTCCACTTATATAATATAGATAAATTGTAATGTTTTTCTTGTATGTTGGATATAGCCATCGGAAACTGGCCGCTGCTTCTAGTTTGTCATGTATAATTTTACTAGATGGGCAAAGTTCTTTGAGGTTAGCGATGAAAATCTCCCATGAAGCTGACTAGTATTCGTTCAAACGGGGATATTGTTACATGATTAAAATTTTAGAGATGCTGGCTTGAGATTTTTTTGCTATTCCTGCCAGTGGTTTGATATTTACTTATATTTTAATATTAGTTTCCCGGATTAATTCTAAACCAGCTTATGATTGGATTTTGGGCTTGTTTGTCCAGTCATCTACTTGATTCTGTGCCTTTCTAACCTTACTAAACATTATTCCTTCTGTTTAAGAAGAATCCTGCTGTTTCTCTTCTTTATCTGCCTAGTTTTTTTTTAATTCTTATAATTTCTTGGGGAATGACTACTTGCTTTCTCATGATGATGAGATTTAGGTACATTGTGGTGGATTTCGCTTTGATACTGCTGTACTCACTGGTATACATTTGTTCAATTTTATCATTTCAATAGTATTTGGAGTCAGACTAGTAAATCACAGTGCTATCATGCTGCCGCGGCCTCCTCTCGATGCACAGAGCATTGTGGTGCATTTTTACTGTTGGCCATTGTGGCCTCGAGTCAATCCAAGAGTTAAAAACCCCCCACTTCTCTTTCTGACTTGTTGCTTCAACAAAAACCCACTGCCCCACCTCTGTTTTGAACATTTTGCAGAAAAACCTTCCTACTTCCAGCTACCCAATGGTTTTTTGGCCAAGTCAAGTTGTTTGACCGTCTTTTTACTGGCATTTTTTCAGGCCAAGCCTGGCCTTTTCTGGCAGCCCACTGATTGCCATTCGGCTGCTGCTGATTCATGCGTGTTCTCTGTTGGTTAGGTTCCAACAAAACTCATTCTCTGCTCCCTCCTTTGTCAAAGGTCTGATTCATGCATTTCTCTGTTTCTGTTCTTTTCTTTCTTTCTTTTTTGGCGTGTTGCTTCATCACACTTCACAGCCCACTAATTTTGATCTCACGAGTCCATTCTCATTGTTATGGTTTCTCTCTCTCTCTTTTTTTTTTATTATTATTTATGATTTTCATCATCTTTCTTTGTTTTGCTTTTACTTCGTTCCTATTTGCATTCCTTAATCCCCTCCCCCTCCTTCCAATGTTCCTGAATTTTTTGTTGTTTGCTAATTAATTATGTTTTATATTAACGCTGTTTGTCCATCTGGATTATTACTTTTGATTATTAACACTTTTTTTTTTTCGCTGTTCCACGCCACAATTCAGGATAGACAACTATATAGTTAGCGCTGCAGGGAAAGGGGGATGGTTCAATTTTTTGGCATATTAATAAGTTGCAAATGCTTTTAGTAGTGTGTAATTTTTGTACAATTGATAATGCAGGCATATTGTCTTATTGATTTTATTGTTCTATAAATATATATGTAACGATTATATATTTGTTTAATTAACTGATTGACATTATTAATGTATATTTTGGCTTGTATGAGTTTCCAGTTTTACAGTATGATGTTTTATAGTGGAATTTCATCGTATTATTTTTTGTTGGTACTGTAGCTCTTACAGTGGCTAGAGTCAAATAAGAAGCTTGAATTTATTGAGAAAGATCATGCCGCTCGACTTGATTTGATTGCCAAATTGCGTGGCCTTGCGAACGCAGAGAGATACATCGAGAGTGTTCCAGAATCTTTTAGAGGGGAGTTATTATACCGAACTTTACTGGCTAACTGTGCTAGTCAGAACAGTTTGAAGAAAACAGAGGAAATATTCAATAAAATGAAGGACTTGGATCTTCCTGTTACCGCATTTGCTTGTAACCAGTTACTTCTTATTTATAAGAGGGTCGACAAGAAGAAAATTGCTGATGTGTTACTGTTGATGGAAAAAGAGAATGTCAAACCTACTCCTTTTACTTATTCAATCTTAATTGATGCAAAGGGCCAGTCCAATGATATTGCTGGAATGGAACAAGTTGTTGAGACAATGAAGGCAGATGGCATTGAACCAGACTTATCAACACAGGCATCCTTGGCTAAGCATTACACCTCATCCGGGTTTAAAGAAAAAGCTGAAGCAATATTGAAGGAGATCGAAGGTGAAAATTTGAAAGTGAATCGAAGGGCATGCCCGACTTTGCTCCGCCTTTATGCAAACTTGGGTAAGGCTGATGAAGTAGAGCGAATTTGGAAGGTATGTGAGTCAAAGCCTCATATTGAGGAATGCCTGGCTGCAATTGAAGCTTGGGGAAAATTAAAGAAAATTGAAGAAGCAGAAGCAGTGTTTGAGATGATGTTAAAGAAATGGAAACTTAATTCCAAGAACTACTCAATACTCCTGAAGGTTTATGCAAATCATAAAATGCTAGCGAAGGGTAAGGATCTTATTAAGCGAATGGCAGACAGTGGGTGCAAAATCGGCCCATTTACCTGGGATTCACTTGTGAAACTCTATGTACAAGCTGGGGAAGTGGAGAAGGCAGACTCTATTTTGCAGAAGGCAATCCAGCAGAATTTGATGAAGCCAATGTTTACTACTTATATGGCTATTATGGAGCAATATGCAAAGAGGGGTGACATCCATAATTCTGAAAAGATTTTCCAAAGAATGAGAGAAGCTGGTTATGTTTCTCGAATTAGTCCGTTCCAAGTTCTAATTCAAGCCTATATAAATGCCAAGCTTCCTGCATATGGGATCAGGGAGAGGATGAAAGCTGATAACCTATTTCCCAACAAAACTTTGGCTAACCAGTTGGTTTTAGTTGATGCGTTTAGGAAGAATGCAGTTTCAGATTTGCTTGATTGATGAAAATTAGCATATTCTGAAAGTGTTGCTTCTACTCTTTAAATGCAACTATTGTTAGTTAATTAGTAGATTGAACATCCCAAATTTGTAATGTTTCATCTTTTACTGCTATCTAAGATAAAAAAACTCTTGCCTTTAAAGCTCAAATGGTTTCGTAAATTCTGGTTTTACGATTTTATAGCGTGTTCCGTGGTTGAAAAGCTTCTACAATCTTTTTCACGTTAGTAAAGCAAAGTTTTACATAGAAGCTGCTACGCCTTTTTGTCCTTTTTATGTTTTTTTGAGTGTAATGAAATTAATGCTTTGTATGTATAGTAAATGATATTAAACCCGACCCGATTATTGACTTCGTCAGAAGATTGGATTATTGGATCATTGGTTCAACCGATAAGTCATTGGTGAAATCGGTTAACCTAGGTAAGCATTTGCAAATGTATATGTTATATTTAAAAATCAAGTGTAGAATCCACAAAAAAGTTATTTCATTTTAGTTTTCATAAGAAAGTTACTAAATTTATTATACATCTTACATATAAAATTCTACAAAGTGTGCAAAATTTGGGAAGTTGTAAACCAGTTTTGATTCTAGACACACTAATGTTATCCAAATAATTTCTAGCATGATTGTCTCGATTAGATAAATCCACACAATATTTTAAAAATATTTTTTTAAAAATTCATATCTAGATTTTCTACTATTCGAGACAAGACAACAAAAAAGATATTTTTTTAAAGACTTCATTTTTAAAATGAAATTTGGATTTTTTTTACATAAAAATAAAGAAAATAAAATTACAAAAAATGAAAAGCATGAACCCACCTAATCCTCGCCATTGAAGTAGTGCTTGTAAACAGTGCGAAGAAATTAACAGTGCTGGAACAAGGATGAGACATAGAGGTACTGTTGTGGTTGAAAATGATATCCAAAGTGATAAAATGGACTAATGATCTTGTAGAGTAAAGAAAAGATAAGAATCGGCGATTGAAGAAGGAAAGTGTTGGAGCAAGTAGTGGAGCCGACAATCGAGAGTAAGGGTTTCGTTTAGATTATCGATTCACCGAATTTCGGGTCGATCGGACCGGATTTGAAAACACTGTGTATAATACCTTTAAACTTCATAATTTTTAAAAAGTTTTAAGAGGGGGTCGCTTAAAAGGATTTGTTAGTGGTTTGGATAATAGGCAATGTGGTAACAAGGAAGGGAAAGAGAAATAAGGAAAAAATGTGATTTTCTCGGAGGGGACTTGAGCTATATTTGCATTTCATTCCTTAAAAATATTTTAAGCAAGGGAAAGGAATTTTTATTAATTGTTCCCTTTCGTTTTGAGGTCACTCTCTCTTATTTGTTTTACTTAATTAAGGAAAAACAAATCTAAACATAGAAATATATAAACTTCTCATTTTGTTTTTAGTTAAATAATGGGTTCCATTTCAAAATTTGTGTCTACAGCAAGAAATCTCACTTTTACTATCACATAAGAAGTGATTTCCCCTACTTATATATATTCAGGGTTTATAACTTCTCCTTTTACAAGATAAGTTTGGTCTCTTGACTCTTTCATTCAAAGTTTAAACATTTCTTCTTCTTTTTTTTTTTAAAATATGGCCCCCACCATGATGCTTTGTCTCTAGAGGAAGGTGGCTTTTTCTCCTATGGTTGGAGAAGTATATTGGCCATATAAGTAAGGGGATTATTTCTCTTAGGGTGTGTTTGGTTGGAGGAAAATGTTGAGATAGATGGGTAAGTGAGAGGTGGGAATACCAATTTACCATGTTTGGTTGAGCCAAGTTGGTTACTTACCTACCTATCTCACTTTCCTACCAAACCATCACATACTAGCATTCTGCAGATATAGCCAGCGAACAATTTCCCTTTGAGCATGTGGTATTGTTGAAAAGCAACCTTATTTGCTTATATTGACTTTTATACAAAAGACTAGCGTACCCTCTCTTCCTTTGACATCCCCAAATCCAAAAAGAACCTTTGAGCATGAACCTTTTAGGAAGGATGATGTCCAAAAGCTCCGCCCAATTCCTAAATCTTTGATCTCAGATTGGTAGCTGATTTTTTTGTGGCAACAAAGAGAAAGTGTTAATTTTTATAAAACGATTTGATTGAAAAATCAACAAGATTGAAAAATTAGAGAACTACCTGATGGGACGCCTCAAGGGTCTGATGTGGTTGTTAATGGAAGAGTGGTTTAACAGACCCAATCGACGAGGTTTAGGACACACAACTGATTCCATCATCATCTCCTCGCAGCTTGTCAAGGTGTTCTTCTTTTGGTACCCGTAGCAATTCATCTTTCCTCTCTTTGTTACCTCGTTAAAATCACAGATCTTGACAAGGAACACCTGCAACCACAAATGAAAAATAAAATAAAATAATTAATCATACAAATCCTGATAAGTTAAGTAAATTCAAACACCTAATAAGCTAAGTTTTCAATTGTCTAACAAGACAAAGATGGAACCTTCATCTTCATGGGCCAAAAACACAAAACAGGTATTGAGAGATAGAGGGTACCTGAGCTGCCATAGAGCCAGAGGCTCCCCTAAGAGGAGAAGAGGAAGAAGACACAAAATTTTTACAAAGACGTTGGGATTTCAAAAAAAATTTTATCTCCTCAGGGTTATTTTCGTAATACCACCTTCTTTTTCCATCTATATTTTACCTCCAACCAAACATGGATTTCATAAAAGTTACTTAATTTACCTAGTAAAGTTTTTCTTCACCAAACAACTTTTTTTTACATTTTCCTACGTATCATGTAAGAACCCGCACCGTTAATTAAGGAATTTAATTAATAAATTATCAGAAAATGGGAAATGATTCTCTAATTGACCCTAATAATTATTATGAGGCTTTAATAATTATAGTAAGTGATTAAGAATGCTGAAAGTCGCTTTTTGGAAGAAAAGTGCAGATACCGGTTCTGCTAGTCGGTATAAATGTGTACCGAAAAAGTATCCCGAAAAATTATAATAAGTGTATGATAATTGCTAGAATAATATGTAGGACTCGTAAAACGAGTTTCAAGTCCAAATAATGAGAACTGGTGCTAGAAACCGGTACTGGCTTTGAAAAGCGCGTACTGGAAAGGTGCTCGGAAAAATATAAGAAAAATATGTTAATTCTTGTAAAATTGAGTAGGTTAAGAATTCTGAGTTTGAGATTAAAATGATAAGCGTAGCTATTTCTGCTTATACTGTGTGTTAAGTGGGTATGTGGCTATATATACCCTTATTATTGGGCACAAAGCCCTAGACCCTTATTTTCCTACGTGACTTAGGCGGCTGGTGAGTCCCTTGCTACTGTTCCATTGCCTTGTGCTCCATTTGGTGAACTTTGAAGCTTCCTCTTCCATTTCTCTTCTCCAAACACTTGGTGTGTGTGAGAGTCACCTTTGGGGTTGAGTGGGGGGCTATTGTTCTGAGTTTGGCCATTGTTTTGGCTGTGTTGAGGGCTGTTTTCTGAGTTTGAGGGGTTAGTCACTTGGTAGTGGCATTCTTGTGCTCCAAGTTGTATGCTTTGTGGAGAAAGACACTAGCTTGAGGTGTCAATTCGTGTACCCTTGTGTGCAGTGCTGTGGAGTTGTGTTGGGAACTCCAAGGAGGAGTCTTTTCTGAGTTTAAACCTCTTGGAGGTATTCATGATCATCCTTTGTTCTTTTTGAGGGTTTAAGCTTGTTTAATCAATTAAAAAGGGAAACTTTAACCATTTGAATAAAGGAAGGTGTTTCTGGGTTCATAACATGTTGGGTTATATCTGTTTAGGGAGTCATTGGACTCCCAATCGCGTTTGGACCCTTAAATTTGGGATTATGCAGAAGTTGGCTCGAATTTCTGCATTCTGTTGAAGAAGTATTCGAATACCTTTCGTGTAGTATTCAAATACTTGTTCATCAGGTAGTCGAATACTCTTGCGGGACTATTGGGATACTTTTCTGGGAAGAAAAGTATTTGGTTACCTTTGAAGAAGTATTCGAATACTGGAAAGTATTCGAATACAGTAAAGTTTAGTATTCGGATACTGAGGTATTCGGATACTGGGGGGTTAAGTATTTGGATACTGGTGAGTATTCGAATACTTAAGTGAAAGTAATCGAATACTTTCTGGAGAGCTGGAGTATTCGAATACTACTCGTGGAGTATTCGAATACTTCCTGCAGAAACATCATGTAATGAGTTAAAATGAGTAAGAAAGACTTAATCACTTAATGTAATCTGAGCTATGATTATTGATGAGTAATTATGGTATGGGAAGATTGTGATTGTGCTGTTTGTGGGCCTTGAGCTGTGTGGACTCTTGGTTTGGATAGTAGCTTACAAGGTAAGCTTTCGTGTCCTCGGTTTAGCCATGTTGTGGTTCCATCAAGTCCCATGGGGGTATGGTTATATGCATGCTGTGTTACATGTTTTGGATATTTGTAATGTTGTTGAGCTTTATGTGTAATGGCTTTTAATATGCATGTGTTGTTCCATCTTGACGGTAAGCCTGAGTATGTAGCGTCATACAAGACGGTGATCCGGGGTGGATGCAAGTAGCGTCTTGCACTATTTGTGGGTATTAGACGTATATAAATCCTGTATTTCTCTGACCAGTAGAATAGAATTGACACACATGGCATGATTATCTGCTGCATTGCAATGTTTTAGAAATGATATTGATGAATTGCTTTTAAACTTATATTGCACATGTAAGTGAGCTTGGGGTGGAAGATCCTTGAGGACCCCTTGTCTTACTGAGATTTCTTGTTTAGAGATCTCACCCCACATTTAGGGAATGCTTATTTAAGGTTTCGGTAGTTTGGTGACTGATGCCTCTGGCGGCAGGAGGCCAGAGCTTAGTTGATGATATTATGCTGTATTGCTGCCATGACTGGATATGGATGCTGTTTATGTTTTTCGCTATTTATGATTATGTGGTTGTTGAGACTGATGTTGGGCGTGTTGCCTTATTTGAGTGAGCATGGGGATTGTCCATGACACTTTATGTTAGTACTTTTAGATTGGAGTTGTATAAACTGTTAGATGGTCCGGTCTACGTTGTTGTAGTTCCGTGACTAGAGCCACACTTATATTATCTATGTTATGAGGTATTTTCAGTTAGCTGTTTTATTGCAATTGCATACAGGCGATGTTTTATTAATTGATTAATAAGCAAGTTGGTAATGATAATGACATCATAATTGAAAAGAAAAAGATATTCCGCATTTTTAATTAAGCGCTGCTTAATACGATAGTATGATAACATTACCGGATATATACGGGGTGTTACATTTATGGTATCAGAGCAATGGTTCGAGGGAAAAGCCTGTATGTATTGCTATAGCTAGGATGTTTGGTTGTGTCTGTCTTGTGTGTTTACTTCGTCGAATTTTATTATGATAATGCATATGTAATCACACTGTGTGGGCCTGATCAACTCATAATTTGTGTAACTTGTGCAGAGTCATGGTAAGGTCCGGGAGAACACGAGAGACTTCTGAGGATCAACCCGATCCTATCCTGACTGCATTGGCTGAGATGCAGGCGGCTAGGTTAGCCGATCAAGAGGCCACTAGATTGGCCAACGCGGAAATGATGGATGTTCGCGAGGCGAACCGGATAGCCGCAGAAGAGGTTTGTGAAGCGAACCGGAGGACCACTGAGGATGTCCTCGAGGCGAACTTGAAAGCGAACATGACGATGATGAGAGTCATGTTGGAGGAGATGAGGGCTGGTCCTGCTGTAGGCCAGGCACCGCCGCCGCCGCCTCCACCTAGTGTTCAGGATGAGAGCCTGAGTCACATTGGCAGTGCTGCTCATGTCGCTGAGACGAGGGAGACTCTGGTAGAGCCTGCTGAGGATCGTGATGTGATAGACCGTCGGCTGAATGCTTTCAGGAAGCATAAGCCACCTGTGTTTGAGGGGCCTTTGGATCCTATTGCTGCTGCTAGATGGCTAGAGTCGCTGGACAAGATATTTCGGGTCATGCAGTGTACAGATCCGCAGAAGCTGATGTTCTCGACTTACATGCTGGAGGGCGATGCCCATGAGTGGTGGACGAACACCTCTCGTGCTTATGAGATGCAGGGCCGTGTCATGACATGGCCATTCTTCGAGGAGTGTTTCTTGGGCAGATACTTTCCCTATGATGCGCAGGAGAGGAAGCAGAGGGAGTTTGATAGATTGGTTCAGGGCTCGATGTCTGTTAACGAGTACTTGGCCAAGTTTAATGAGCTGGTGAAGTTTGCACACTTCAGGATGGTTCCTCCTACTCCGATGTTTCTGGCTGCTAAGTTCCGTAGAGGACTTAGTGAGGTGATTGTTGAGAATATTGCTGGAGCTGCTTCAAGGGATTTTGGTACACTGGTTCAGCAGTGTAAGGACATTGAGGATGTCTGCATAGCGGGTAAGGTCAAGAGGGCCAAGGTCGACGAGACCAAGGGGACTGTTGGTTCTACTCCTGTTTCTACGTCCTGGAAGGACAAGAGGTTTGCTGGGAAGGGCAAGGGTAAACAGTTGGTGACTAGGCAGGAGCCTGGTCAGTTCAAGAGAACTGCTTCACATCAGGGGAGTTTTGCTAGGCCTCCTTCCACTCCGAGATGTGCGGGGTGCGGGAAAGAGCATGTGGGACGTTGTGCTTCGGGGCAGTTGGTTTGTTTCCTGTGTGGCAAGGAGGGCCACTTCTCTAGAGACTGTCCGTCGTCGACGGCGAGAGTTGCAGCTGTTCAGGCAGTTCCTTTGCAGATGGTTCCGATGGCTTCTACTTCGGCACCTGCAGTGCCACCTTCTGTTGGGCGTGCGTACACCTTGGATAGGCAGCAGTCGGACCGCGCTCCGAACCTTGTTAGAGGTACTGTGTCTATTGGTGGTTTTGCTGTTGATGCATTGTTTGACTCCGAGGCTACGCATTCATTTGTTGCTACCCCAATTGCTTAGGGGCTTGAGTTGTCCATGTCTGTGCTTTCTCCATCGTTGCGGGTGACTACCGCCACCGGAGAAGTTTGTGATTCTACCACTGTTCATCGCGATGTAGCATTTCAGTGGGATGACCGTGAGTTCTCGGTACATCTGATAGGATTGCCGATGGCCAACTTGGAGATTATTCTGGGCATGGATTGGTTGTCTAGAAACTGTGCACTGATTGATTGTTGTGCAAAGCGCGTGGTGATGTCTCCGTGTGATTCCACAGCTAGTACCTCGACATTTATTTCATTGTTGCAGGCTAGGAAGGCCTTGAGAGCAGGGGCATTTGGTTATGTCATGTTGGGAGGTTTGGTGAGTGCGACACAAGAGGATATCACTGGCATTCCTGTGGTGGAGGAGTTCCTCGAGGTGTTTCCTGAGGAGATTCCTGAGTTTCTGCCACAGCGGGAGATAGAGTTCTCCATTGACTTGTTACTTGGTGTGGGGCCGATTTCTTTAGCTCCATATCGGATGTCGCCACCGGAGTTGGCTGAGCTTAAGAAGCATATTGAGGATCTTTCGGCGAAAGATTTCATCCGGTCAAGTGTGTCTCCTTGGGGAGCACCGGTCATCTTTGTGAAGAAGAAGGACGGGACAATGCGATTGTGCACCGACTACAGGCAGTTGAACAAGGTGACAATCAAGAACAAGTATCCCCTTCCTCGGATTGATGATCTGTTGGATCAGCTCAGGGGTGCTTGTGTGTATTCCAAGATTGATGG